TTAAAGTTTTTGGTGCCTTCACTTCACTTCCATACCTTAACATGTTTGAGTCTCTTCTACGGTTAATATTGATTAATTTCTTGGCTTTATAATGTTTGGTTTGGGGATAATTGCACCATCCCTGTAACATAATTTGCCCTAAATTACTGATATGTGCTTCTAGCATTAGTTCTACTTTAACATAATTTTGATATGACAATTTTCTTGCTTTTTTTTTCCTTTCCTTTTTTATTCATTTATTTATTTTTATTATTAAAAATTGCATGCATGAACTCTACACAAAAAAAAAAGTAAATGAGAATGTTACCCTGTGATAACTCTGTGATTGGAGGAGATATGCTTTCAAATCAAAAGCCATGCTCTTGTATTTTAATTTTTCTGGCCAGATTCCCCACTTTGTTTGGTTATTTTAGTGTTTCCCACCCCCAGAGCTGTGCAGAGAGGCCAGAAGGCCCCAGCCTGCCCTGCTAGACCTCCAGCTTTCTACTGCAGCAGCCACACGTACACGTGCACCGAGGCACACGCACACACACACACACAGGCACACACCGCTTTTTCCTCCCCGCTTTTGCGTCAGGCAGGGTATTTAACAAAAGGATCTTTCTTTTGCCCATTTCTTTCTGTATCTCAAGTTCCTCCTCCTACTCCACCAGTGACTCACCCTTTCAGCCTCTCCCCTTTCCTGGTGGCTTCTCCTCCCTGTCAGGACGCAAGCCCCATCCCGCGAGCGCATGCCTCCCGGCCGCTTTGCTACAGAAAGGAAAGATTGCATTTAGTTGGAATCCCATTTTTTTTTTCCTTTTTTGCAAGGAGGGGGTGGCTGCGCCCATTTTGGGGAGAGGGATGCTTTTTTGTGGACTGATGAATAGCCACAAAAGGGTCCCCCCCGGGCGGCAGAGCAACTTTGGGACCCCCTCGGTCGTTCTCTGTGCGAACAGGCGACGGCCGAGGTGTTGCCACTTTAGCAAAGCAAGGCCACAACCAGGAATTTCTCAGAGGCTCCATTTTAATATTAGCTAGTGCCCTAAATGAGTGGGTGATCCCGTGAGGTGTCCCTGGGTGTCAGCCCGTCCCCGGCACGTGTAACAGGAGAGACGGGAGCGTGCTGGCTCTCGCCCCTGCCCCAGCAGCTCCCCACTGAGGGGTCCTGGTGAAGCATGAAACTGGACAGAGCAGGACAGCCCCGAGGACTCGGGGGGAACCCCAGACCTCCCCGCGGCAGGAGGCAGGGTGTAGGGCCACGCAGGGTAGCCACAGTGCCAGAGCCACCAGCAGCACCGCAGGGGCCACAGTCGCCACTGACCAACACAAGATGGGTAAGATCCCATCACTGAGGAGTCCCCCCAGGAGCCCAGCAAAACGGCAGCCCTCCTGGGTAGCGTGGTGCAAGGGCTGGCAAACGTCACTGGAGAGGGTCCACGCCGCAGCACATGAGACCTGCCGAGACCCTCTCCTGTCCCAGCACCCATTTATGTCCCCAGACAGCAGCAGGAGGTGCTCCGTGCCACCCGCTCTCACAGCAGGGCTGGTCAGGGCTTCCAGTTCAGGGTTTGGAGTTAGGAGAGTGGAACTGGGAGAGGAAGGGAGTGTGGAAGGAGGAAGGGAGAAAATAACTGCCCAGTTGTAAATCCCTGCCTGGGGAGGAAGGACTTTTTGTTTTCTTGCCTATCAAAGGGAATTTCTGCTCTCCCCATTGGCTTGCTGGTGGGAGAGTGGCTAGGGAGGTCTCTCCCAGGGAGCCTTTGCCACGTCCCCCATCCGCAAGGAGCACAGAACCCCAAATCCAGGCCACATCTCCAGCACAGGCTGTATTTTCACATTAGCAATTGACGCCACAGTTTATCACAACTCACACTGCACATCTCACCTGCATTAAAGGATAGTCAAGCAAGGAGGTGAAATGCCCTGGCCTCAAAGCACAGCTTGATCTGGCACCAGAGAGATGCTGAAACCCAGCCAGACCCTCTAAACACAGGTTCAACCGTGGGCTGGGCTGATGAGTCACAGGCTTTGCCTTGTGGCTCCCCCAGAGCAGAGAGGGGCTCGCTCAGCAGGCGACGCGGCTGCCGCGCTCCGCAGAAGCTGCGCTGCGCTCCTGGGCGTCCTCCCTGCCCCGCCATAGGGTGCTTGGAGAGTGTCTGCCACGACCTCTGCACAAGCTTGGATTGCATTGGGAGGGGGCCCTCAGCCAGCAGCGGGTTTTGGGCCGTTGCATTGCCCCCAAGAGAGATCCTGTAGGGACACATGGGATGTGAGGCGGGACTGGGTGCCAGAACCGCCTAACACTTCTTTCTCCTTGTCTGTCTATTTGTGTGTTGCAGCAATATCATCCCACCGACATCACCGGCCAGCTCAACCTCTCCGACCCCTCAGTCAGCACTGTGGTGTGACCTTCTCCCCGAGGGCCATCAGTCCTTGCCCAACACAGTACGAAGGCACAGCCAAGACTGCCTCTCAAGGGACACTGATGGGTTCTTCTGGGTGAGATGGGAGGAAAGCATCCTTCATCCATACACAGTGACTTCATTGTATATCTCCCTCCCTTCCTAGGCCTGCTGCCATGCTCGTGCCCCAGAACGCACGGCAGAACCAGGACACAGTTTGGACTTCACTGTACAGAGATAATCACTTCCAACCAGTGCTGTTGATAATCAGTATTGCCACTGACTGGCTACGTGCAAGGGGAAAGGACTTTGAAAGGAACATGGTGCCTGCTCTCCCATGGTAGCAGGGAAGAGCTGGTGCCAGACAAGTGCTTCACTTTGCAGGCTTCGGGCTTCTCAGCACACGCACGGCCCCTCAGACGTGTGCTCCACAGTTCCCACCACCCCGGAGGGCTGCACGACGTGCTCGTGGTCCCAAGTGGCCAGAGCAGCCGACACAGACCAGGCACATGTTCCTGCTGTGCCAAGTGACACCTGCCTCTGTGGCAGGGGCTGGAAGATGTGTGCTCCACTCCTCTCCAGAGATGATCCCCTTGTTCCTCCTCCCATAAGCCTGTGCTCAGAGCCCATGGCTATGACTTGGCTCCTCTACGTGGTCTGTTTGCAGCAGGAGGGCTCAAAGCCCTGCAGCCCACGCTTCTCTGCTAAACGTGGTACTCTGGACCTCATAACACACTGTCAGCCAAGATCCTGGCTCCCCACATCTCCTGCACAGAAGACAATCGCAGGGCCTGTCCATGGCCAGCATATAGCTCTCACACCGTGGCTCTCCTGGCCAGGAACATCTCCACGGGGAATGGCTCTGGATGGTTACGTTGACTTTCAGCCAAGCTCCACACTGCCTCAGCACCAGCAATGCAAGGAGAGATGCTGCCGGCCGTGGTTTGCTCCATGCTGTGGTGACTGCAGCAGCCACTCAGCCTGTCAGGGCACCACAGCGGGCTCTGACACCTTCTCTGCCACACTCACTGTGGTACAAGCTGGCCAGAAGCTCCAGCAGCAGCCCCAAAGCCTCAGCTCATGTGGCTGCATCTGCCTAAACCTGGAGACATGGGAAACAGAGGAAGGGAACGAAATGAGACAGGCTGATGCCATTCCTCCCCACACCTTCCTCCCCTCAAACGTACGTGCCCATGTGCCATCACCCCTGAGCACCCTCCCTGTGATGAGCTGAGAGTGGGTGCGGAGACACCAGGGTCGGGGAAGCCTCTGGCACCAGCCAGGCTGGTGATGGGCAGCTACAGCAAGTGCACGGGCAACATCACTCACCGCCTCCTGCAACCTGGTACCAAGCCCCAGCAGCACGAACTGTCTTCTCCTTGCCCCAGCCGAGCAGACGGGGCTTCCCCCTGTGGGTCGGCAGCTTTTGCAGGCAGGATTTTCAGACGGCAGCTAGGTCTGTAAGCATCGTCCCACTGACTGCAGTGGCTCCATCAAGTTCATCTCGCTCCAGCTGAGAAATTGGACCCATTCTACTTTATACGTCAATGTAACATTAATACCAAGTTTTTGCAAGAGCTCAGTAAAGTCTAGACTGGATCATGAAGTGGTTTATTCCAGTGCTGTGTGTCTCTTTCCGTCTCTGCCTTCTGGCAAGGCTGGCAGGGAGCCCCGTGCTGAATCAGAGCCTCACCCAGCGCTGCTGCAGGGTTTGCAAGCTGTAAAAGGTGGAGGAACGGGGAGGGACGGGGATGCCAGCAGGCAGAAAGGCCAAGAGCTGCAGGGAAGATCGGGAGGGAAGGGTCATCACCATCCTGGGATGTCAGGCTGGATCATGACAGTGTGGGGCAGCCTGGACAGACAGTGTGGGGGGACAGGTCTGGCGGTGGGGAGCAGGGGACGGTCTGAAACCACCCAAATGCCAGCACCACACAAGCTGCCTCTCACACCCACCTCCATCCAGGGGAGAAGCATCACCTGCTGCTGTTGTGCTCCCCAGCTTCTGGGAGCCAGCACGGGGTTCTGCCTGTGGGGCTGGCCTGCGGGAACAGACCACCGACTGCAGGGATGAAGGCACCTGGAGACATCCCTGCACATCAGCTTCCATAGGGGGGGTGCCCTGAGGGATCTGCAAAACACAGCTCCCCCAAGATGAACTGAAGCAACATCACTCACTCAGAGCATGCTCCCCGTGTGCCAAGACCACCAGCCCAACCTCCATGGGGGTCTCAGCCTCAGCATGATCAGGGAGGAGGAGCGGGGCTCAGGTGCCCATGCAGAGCGAGAAGGGAGGTCCCAGCTCCAAATGGGAAGCTCAGGCCTTCTCTGGGAGGACCGAGTGATGTCGCTAGAGAAGGAATGGGAGAGCTGGGATTGCTTCTGGGAAAGGCACCATTCAGGGGGCTGATCCTGGCAGAGGTCCTGCAGCCATCCTGGGTGTGGGGCTGGTGGCACTGGAGGAGCTGCTGCTCTCACCAGCTCCTCACCCCCCTGGGTGGGGGAGGCACTGCAGGGAGAGCCGAGTGGGCATGGAGCGGTGTGACAGCATGCTGGGTCAGTCTGAAAATAAAAATGGGAGGAAGCCACAACTGAGAAAACATTCAGTTTATTCTCTGCATGATTTATTTAACCCTTGCCACAGGATGCATTAACACCCCTGGCTTGTCCCACAGCACTTGCACGGGCAAGAGATCAAGCGAACCGGGGGGACGCTGGTGGCCACAGTCATCTCATGGCTCTTACCGCCTTAAGAACTCATGTTCTTACTCGTGGATAATCACTCATGCCAGAAAGGGCCATTGCTCCACCTGGAGAGAATCTTCCATCACCACAGCTTGTGCTTGCCACTGGAGCACACTCCAGCTCCTTCCAGGCCAATTCCCAGCACACTCACTAAGCATTTCCATGTAATGAGATGGGGGAGAAGCATTTCCACAGGGAAGGGCAAGAGGCAGCAGGGCCAGGAGATGCAGGGGCAGCCCCAGCCCCTTGTTGGGTCTGATGGGAGCTGAGGCAGAGGCACGGGTCACAGGCTCTGGGCTGTAAACCCACAGGAGCTTTTTTGTCCCCACTCCCCTCACTGAGCTAACTCTAGACCTTAGCCTTGGATGAGCTTTAACCTAGAGGAAAAGCTGCTGGGGGAGGAACCACCGTGCAGCCTCACCCATCCTTTGGCAGCCCCTTTGCCAAACCACATCAGTTAGAGCTCGAGGCTTTGTCTCTTTCCAGCCCTCACCCTAAACCTCAGCCTCACCCTAGGTCTTGGATGTTGGCTGAGCTTTCTTAGCATCAGGAGTACTGTCGCAAGGAAAAAAAAAAATATATAAAAATATATATTTTGCAACTTTTCCTGTCCTTGGGCAGCACACAGTGGAGTCTGGGGCTTTCTGGGGGTCCTGTGGAGGCTCTGGAGTGCCACCAAAAGCACCCAGAGATCTTCAGGTGCACCAAAAGGCACATGAAGAGTTCTGAGGCACACTAAAAGGCAGAACAATGCCTGTCAGGACACAGAAAGCCAAACAAATGGCATATGGGTGTACAAAAAGATACGCCATGGGGTCTTGAGGACACAGAAAGGCACTCTGAGGCTGGTGGGGTCACTGAATGGCAGATGGGGAGTGCTGGGGACACCAAAAGGCCCAAGGAGGGCTTTGGGGCAAACTGAAAGGCACACAGAGGCTCCTGGGATGCACTGAAAGGCAAATTGAGGCACCCAGAGGAATATGGGGTGCCCTGAGATGCACACAGGATGCACCAAAAGGCACACAGAGGTATAGAGTGCATCCTGGAATGCAAACTGTGGCCCCTGAGCAGCAGAAGGGGCAGGACAGGGTGAGCTGGAGGAGAAGGATCACCTGGCCCTCCCTGAGAAGGGAGTGTGCAGGTCCGAGGATGGCCCAGGGGAGCCTCCAGAAACATGGAGAGCATCTGAGGTCAGATCGTGCCCTTCAGGGGGGCTGAGCTGGAGGCAGCAGTGGGGCAGAGGGAGCTTAGCATTATCTTGGGGGACTCCGGGAGGAGGAAGAGAAGCAACTTCAAGGAAGAGAGCAACTTCTTATTGGTCCACAGGGGAACACTGTTTGGTGTTCACTGGTTCACTGTTTGGAACAGTGGGGTGCAGACCCCTGGAGAAGGGCATGGACCATAGCCTGCCTGGTTGCCCTGCCTCAGTGTCCCCTGCAGATGTGGGGTCTCCTCCAGAAGTGGGATTCTTTGCGCAGATTGTGGTAAACAACTATGATGAAGCCCATGAAGGTGCAGAAGAAGACGCTGACCAAGAAGGAGAATGGTCCAATGGTCAAGAAGACAAGGTAGTGCCGGGCGGACAGCGAGGTCTCTTGACATTGCCTGAAAGACTCATTCCCGAAGGCCATGATCGGATATTTGTTGAGCTGCTCCGGGACTCTGCACAGGAGCAAAGTCTTCTCTGGAAGAGAAAAGCAGTGCTGATGGCCACACTGGGCAGCTGGGACAAGGGAAACATCAAGGACAGAGGGGATGGCAGGTCTGTATGGGACAGATGCAGAAGGACAGCAGCCAGATTGACCATTATAGCCCAGGGCAAGGTACAAAGAAAGGGAGCAGTGAGGGTTCAGGGCTCACCTGCATCCTGCACTTTGGGGAATGGGATGGGGAGGTGGGAGCAGTGCTGGAGAGGACACTGGAAAATGGTTTGGGGGCAGGATAGGATGGGGCAGGATGGCAGATGGGGCAGGTAAGGGGATGAGCCTGGTTCCCAGGGGACAGATGTGGGAAGCAGTGAGCAGCCAGCCTGGAGATGCCACAGAAGGTGCCAGCCAGCACGAGTGACAGGCGTACACCCAAGCTGGACGCAGGCCAGGAGTGGAGGGCAGTGGAGAGATGACCTTGCTAGCAGAGCTGTCACTCTCCAGGGTTCATGGGGAAGAAATATGGGATCAGACCTGTGTTCCTGAAGGCATTGGGGAAGGGATTGAAGGCACTGAGTCCTGGCCAGATCAGCGGTGATGCCCATCCTGACATACAGGATCTTCTTGCCCCTCAGGTGCTCACTGCCCAGCACACCTTGCCCTCACCTTTGCAGGACTGGTGCCACTGCTGGGGACAGCACTGGGTGCCCATTGCTGGGACATTGCCCAGCTCTCCTCTCCAGGCAATCCCTGGTGGTGACCAAGGACCAAGGGTGGGCAACAGGTACCAGACCCAGGGTTGCATCCACCCAAGCAGACACAGGAGCTGCCATCAGGACGAGTCCTGCGAAGCCCCACGGACACTGACCACGCGAACCCACAGCCAGCGCGCTGGGACCTACCTCACTCCCAACAGGGTGACCAGACAGTGTGGAGCAGTTGGGGGGCTTAAGGACACGGTCCTCCGGGCACTCACCTTGTACTTTTTCCCTGTTGTGGTTGAGCCAGTGCCAGAGGGGCATGATGTCGCAGCTGCACACCCAGGGGTTGTCCTGCAGGAGGAGGGCTCGGAGCTGGGGCAGGGGCTGCAGCACTTCAGGGTCCAGCTCCTCCAGCCTATTGCTGCCCAGGTTGAGCATGGCCAGGCTGGTGAGGGGCAGGAAGGTTTCAGGGGTCAGCACAGTTAAGTAGTTGTTGCTGAGGTCCAGCTCCTGCAGCGCCCCGAGCCCCGCCAGCGCCTGGGGGTGGATCAGCCCCAAGCGGTTGTGGGGCAGGCTGAGCAGCAGCAGCCCCGGCAGGGCAGGGAAGGAGCGTGGCCCCAGCACAGAGATGAAGTTGTAGCCAAGCCACAGGCTGCTGGTGTTGGTCGCCAGGCCCCGCGGCACCTCAGGGAGGGCATGTGCTCTGCAGTCCACCTCCCCCGAGGAGGAGCAGCGGCAGGCGGCAGGGCAGGCTGGCAGGGGCGGCGGGCGCAGGAGAAGCAGGCAGACCAGCACCGTGCTGGGGACCCTCCAGCAGCCCATGGCTGCCCACCGAGGCGGCGAGGGCTCCCCGATCTCTGCTGCAGGGTTTCCCCCACCGGCAGGATCCCCACTGCCCCTTGCCTTGCCGAGACCCCCGTCCCTGCCCTGCACCCTCCGGTGCCGAGCAGAGGTACCAGGCTGCCCGGGGAGCTGGTGGACGTGCTGGGCTCCCCGCAGCTGGACGCATTCCCCCCTGCACTGCTCGCCGCCACCCTCCCTCTGCAAACCCGCAGCGGGATGCAATTCCGGCCCCAGTTTTCTTTGGGGTGGAGCTGCACTTTTTTTTTTTTTCAGCAAATATTTTTGCAACGCTGCTGGCCCTGGCAAGGTGTGGAGCCGTGCCCTCGTCCCTCCCTCTGCCAGGCACCGCTCCAGCCAGGTAAGCAGCCAGCTCTGCACAGCCCGGCGTTAACTGCTTGTGTGCGCTGCAGGCTGGAGAGATGGAAAAAAGCAAACCCAGACCCGGCTCTTGGTGCCCACCGTCCCCACGGGGCATCCCCCATGGATGTGCTGCCCCACCAGTCCAGTACAGAGGGGTGTGTGGGCCCAGGACCCCCTTAGCTGGCTGGTGTGGGATAACGCTTAAATCATATCATTGGCAGGTCTAACCCCGTCTTCTGTGCTGGCCCACCATGCCCAGAGATCCTCCACATGGAAGCCACAGGCCACCTGGCTGAGCCCGGCTTTTGGCCAGTCTCTGATTGCCCCTGGCAGGAGACCACAAGCCATGCCAAAATCAGAAGGGTTGAGATGTGAGTCCCATGGGCCACCCTCCTCCTTCCCAGCAGGATAGCGTGCCTGCATGCACACAGGGGGCACCCAGGAGCCCCCGCATGAGAAGACGTGGGAAAGGGGAGCTTGCTGGGCTGTAGCCAACTGAAACTTGTTTGCCCTCACCCCAGAACAGCAGCACCAGTAGGAGAGGGCTCAAAGTCTGCCTCCACCCTGTTTACACCTGCATCAGTTGCAGACGTGCCTGAAGCCCCACAGCAGAAGGCTGGAGAGCAGAGGTGTCACCTCCTGGTACCACCATCCCTGGCAGAGCTCAGCAGACACCAGGGGACATGGCCAGCAGCACTTCATCCTACCTGCAGCCCAGAGCAGGGACACAGAGCAGAGACACTGTTCTCCACTCACACCTTGTAGCTCCTGTCCTGATTGGGACCCTGGTGGTCATGGTCCCGCAGGAATCCCTGGCACCTCTGCCCCACGGCCAAGGGCTGGAAGGGCAGGAAGGCAGTGTGTGGCTGCACCCCAGGCCAGGACCGGGATGTTCCCAAATCTGGGGCAGGAACAGCAGGCAGGCGGTTTATTAATAGCAGCCAGAGGAGCTTTGGTTTGTTTATCTACCCTGCAGCAAACTCGGTTTACTGCATTAATCCCCATCTGGAAATAATTCAGAGGAATCCACCAGCCCAGCCCTGCCCCAAACCAGGGCACAAACCCGCAGCCACGTGGAGCTGCAGCACCAGCTCACCATGGGCTGTGGGCTGGATGGGGCTCTGGGTTTTTAGGGGGCCCTAAAATGCTCTTCCTCCCCAGAGGTTGCATTGCCCACTGCCTGCGGTTACTTGGGGCCAGCTGAGAAGTGCAAAATTCATTGAAAAAAACCCAAACCTATTAAAAGCAAGGCCATTTCCAGCTTTTGTGCTCAGAGAGCCCAGGAGGCTGCAAACCCACCTCAGCTCCTCCACCAGCCCCTCGCTGTCACCCCGTTGCATACCCCTATGGCACATGGCAGGAGAGATGTCCCCAGTGTCCTGCCTGCCAGCGACACCAGCCAAGTGCAAGGGCTGGTGCTGGCCGTGCCTGTCCCTGCTCCTGTTTTGCCTTCATTGGCTGTCCCTGGCTGCAATTGCAGGCCAGTGGCCCTCTGGGGTCCTGTACCCCATCTGTGCCACCACTGTCCCTCCACACACCCTGCCAGTTTTCCACAGAGAGTGGCTCCCTCTCATTGTCCCCTTCTCTGGAACAGGGGGATCCAGCACCTTGCAGGAAGAGCCCAGGTTCCTGTCCCCAGCCAGGGCTGCACCCAACGGTGCCCCACTCCCCAGTTTTGGGGTCCATGTGGAGCCCAGGGCCAGCACCAGAAGAGGTTGCTCCAGGCAACACTTCCCGGGGCGGGGGGGGAGGACATGCTGATGGAGGAGTCCCCCAAGGCATGGGGCACAGCACCACCCCTACTCTGGCCAAGGTGTGTAAATCAGGGCACCCGGCCAGCAGGCCAAGAGCATTCCCACAATGAGGTGATGGGGAGCAGATTGACTCCTTCAGAGCCCAGTCACTGGCTGGGGGCAGCAGGGACGTGCACAGAGGACCACGGCAAGGACCAGGCTGCACAGCTCAGTTCTGGTGCTGGTGGAACACAGTGGAGCTGGGGTGGGAGCACAGAGGCAAGGACCTGGGGCTGAGGACAGGGAGCCATATCCTCCTCCACCGTTGGAAAGACAGGACTCAAGGTGCCGAGCTGAGCACAGAGTCCTGCTGGCACCTTTGTACAGAGCCATGCCCAGGGTAGGGATAGGGCCTGCCCAGACTTCCCACCACCCACTGTGGAGTCTTTGGGGAGAAATGAAGATAGAGGGGAAAGTGTTAACTTTTATCCCATCCTTGAAGGCTTTAATTTATTGCATGTTTCCATGTAATTAAAGATCGGAGGCAGGCAGATGCCCACCCCATGGAGTCCCTGAACCACACCACAGTTCTGCTGTCCCTGCTGGGCACCTCTGCCCCGAGACAATCCTGGTTCTCCTGCTCCCAGGGCTGGAGCTCCCCAGGCTGAGCTTTGCTGGGCACATCTCAGAGCTCTGACTTTCTATAGAAGGTGACACCAAGTGGCAGAATTGTGCACGGGCGCTGTGCAGGGGGTGGGCACTGTGCAGGGGGTGGGCACTGCGCTCCTCTGGCTGCAGCCCTGGCACCCAGGGCAGGGGACAGCCAAGCACCAAGACTGCCCAGGGGACATGAGATCACTGCTGGCCCCAGGCAGGCACAGGCTGGGGTCCCCTGCTGAGCCCTGAGGGGCAGCCAGTGGTGCCCGAGGGTGGGATATTGCAAGAGCTCCTAAACCACATGGAAAATGGATGCAGAAAGTGGGCTCTGTGGAAGGACCACAAGAGGTGCACAGGCAATGGCAAGCCCTGCCCAAGAACTGCATTAGTATCACCCTGGTGCACCCCAGTCCCCCCCATTTGGCCTCTGTTAATCCCACACCCCAGCTGTTTGGGCCCAGGTCTCCGCACCCCCTGTCTGGGGTCAGGCAGGGAAAGCCGTGCTGGCAGCGAGGACAGTACCTGGAAAACAGCACTGGGGCTTGTGCAGGGGCTGTGTGTGGGTGTGCAGGCAGGGACAGGGAGAGCCCCAGGCAGGAAAACCAAACCTGGCACCAGCTGCAGAGAACAAGGCCAAGCAGGAGCTCCCAGGCTCAGCTCTCCTCCCGTACCGGAGCAAAGTAGGGGGTGGGCAGAGAAATCCAAAGAGCTGGAGCAATGTGTTGTGGCCTCCTAACAACTCTGTCATCCTTGATTTCAACTGTCCAGCTAGCCCAGTGCCCAAATTTCTCATGAAAAGGGCCAACAGAGCAAACGTTTAAAGGGAAGCAATCTGGCAGGACAGATCACCTCTCTGCGTCCTGCCCCCACCCCAGGCAGGGCTCTCCCAAGGCTCACCCACAAATCGGACCAAGACATGCAGCCCAGCAGGGTCAGCAGAGCATGGTTTAATAGGCGTGAAGCTTTCATTGTGCTGGACATGCTCCCACAGCATCGCTGTGTACCTGTGCTCTGCCGGGCTCCCGTGTCCCCTGCCTGGGGGGTGCTCTGCAGGGTGTCCCTGCTGCAGAGCCACATGCATGGGGAAGCTGGGGGTGAGCAAGCCTTGGGCCAGGGACCAGGGGACACCCACGATGGCTGGATGACGTTTCTGAGTTGTCAGAGGGGCAGGTGGGTAGGATGAGGGCGTGGGGGCATCCTCATCCCCCCTGTTGTACCCCAAATCCCAGCAGGACGGGCAGCAAGCCCTGAGGAAACTGAAGCCCTTTCCAGGCTGCCAGCGCAGCCCCACTGCTACTGTCCACGTGTGGGTCTGAGGCATGGCATGGGTCTCCAGAAGTGGTCCCAGGCAGCAGCCCAGAGGTTCAGCTGCTCACGCACTGCCAGCAGCCCCCCCCGGGTGCTCAGCTCTCAAAGACGGCCGTCACCCCGCAGCACAGGCACGGCCGGCAGCAGCCGCGCTGGGGGAATGGTGCCGGAGGCACCGTGTCTTGGCACAGCCCCGCCGGCTGCTGGGTGATCGCCTTCTCTTTGCACGAGCCCTTGGTGGCCAACTCAGGCTGGGACTTGCCGGCCACTCGGGGATGATCCTTGTCAGCCTTGACGGCGAGGAAGGTGGCCAGGTCGAGGTCGAGCATGGCGACGCCGCCGCGCGGCGTGGGCGTGTTTTGGCGGCACTGCGGGCAGGGGATCCAGCGCTGCTCATTGGCGACGGCGTCGAGGCGTTTCAGGCAGGCTTGGCAGAAGGTATGGCCGCAGTAGAGCCGGCGGGGCAGCCGGCCGCACAGGTCATAGGAGGAGTAGCAGATGATGCACTCAACCCGCTGGCTGCCCCGGCTCGGGGTGCGCGAGTGTGTCCGGACACACAGCCCTGCCTCCTCTGCCCGGGGGCTGCCACCAGCCTGGGACATGCTGAGGAGGGGAGGGCAAGAGGAGCCATCAGACCCATGGTCTGGGTGTGGGATGCCACCTCTGAGACTATCTGTTGCATGTGAGATATGGGCACCTGACCCATGCAGTAGGTTCTGTTGGGCATCAGGCTCCCTGCCCAACATCCCTGCCTGCCCCATGGGCAGCCCTGCCTAGAAAAGCAGGACTCTGCCACTACAGAGGGTTCTCCTGCATCCAAGAGGGATGCATTTTCCCTGCTGCCCCCCTGCACCTCTACCAGGAGCTCTGTCAAATGTCCTTTATGTCCCGTGGGGGATCAGGGCTGGTTGGACCTCAGCAGCCTGCCCAGGCTCTGGGTTGGTGGGGAATATGGGGTGGGCAGGAGCACGTCGGCTGGGTGGGCAGGGGAGCAGCATCCAGAGGACCAGGCAGTGCCACAGCCCTGCTCCTCTCCTGCTCTGTGTGTGCCAGGCTGCTGTGACACAGCTGACAGCAGCAGGGGACGGGCACACAGGCTGGCAGGGAGGAGCTGAGTCCAGCCTCGTCTTAAGGGAGGTCTGGTACCCCACAGCATATCTGCAAACCTCTCCTGGAGGCCACCAAGACCCCACTTGCTCTCTACAACTGACCTCAAGCATTTTGATATACACGGGCATCCCTCTCCTCCCATCCTCCCCTGTCCCCATCCCTACCTGTCCTGAGGTGCTCCCCCAGGGCTTCAGGGGAGGTGGCAGGAGGGCTTCTCTGTTCCGGGGGGCTGTGGCAGTCCTGTGGGGAGCATCGGGGGCCTGAGCTGCCAGCAGCTCCCCGGCCAGGTCCCGGCAGCTGCTGGTGGCTGTGGCAGTGGGAAGGGGCTCACCTTTCAGGGAGAGGCACGCTATCGGATCTGCTGCTGGGAAGCCAAGCCTGGGAGATTGGGTTACAAGCACCCAGGTAACAAAGACCTCCGAAATCTAAGCCCCAGGAGCAGTCATTAACTGTCTGTCTCTGCTTCATTAGCAGAAGAAACTGTCCCCATGAGGCCAGAGCTCTGGGCTTCACTGTGGGTGGAGGCGACTTGGACATTGGCTGAACCTGGGTGGCAGCAGAGGAGTCCTCCACATCCTCAGCCATCTCCTGCAGCCAGGCACATCTGAGCAGATGTTGGCCAGTGGAGACACCCCATCGCACTCCAGTCCACACATGCCCAGGAGGTCTGGGGTACAGGGATGTCTGGAACTGGAGCGGGAGGGCACAGCACAGGGGACGGAGGGGCTGGGGCTGGCACAGGGACACCGAGGCTCCAGCCTGGTCCAAGTGCCCAAGCACGCGCTGGTGCTCCTTGTCTGGTGACAGAAGATGACCGCTGCTACAGACATGATGGTGACCTGGCCCTGCTCCTCCGGCTGGGGCTGCAGGCTCTGGCCTTGGGGGCTGAGTTACCCTCGGCTCTGCCAGGGCCAATGCTCAGCACCAGGCTGGGGAGAACCTAGCACCCCAGCCATGAACCAGCAAGATTCATGACACAATGCATGACCCAGGGGAGGTGACAGCACCAGGGTGGTGGCAGGTCCAGTCCCCACTGCTGCCAGTCCCCTGCATGGCCCTGGGTCCAGAAGCAACGCCGCAGCCTCTGCACGGAGAGGGCTCCGAGCAGGGGAAGATTTAAAACAGGGAGTGTGATAGGGGACAGCTCCCAGACCCAGGATTCTGAAGGAGAAAAGCACGTCCTGGAGCCAGGGCAGGGCTGCCGGGACACCCAGCAGCACTTCTGCGTGGGAGCAGGAGAGGGCAGCAGGTCCTGCTGCAGGCAGGAGCAGGCAGCACTGCAGGCAGGAGCAGGCAGCAGTGCAGGCAGGGAGACAGGCAATTTTCTCCTCCCCTGCCTCCTTAACCCAGCCGTGTTTCCAGCCCTCCTCGGCGGCAAGAATTGAGGGGTTTGCAAACCGAGAGCTTCACAGGGTCACCAGGCCCTGCAGAAAAACTCGCCCCTGTGACACCAGAGCTCGGGAGCAAGGCAGCAGAGCGGGCAGCACAGCACCTTCGGGGCACAGTGGCCGTATCCTGACACAGAATCCTGATACATCCTCTGTCACAGGTGTCCTCGGGCAGTGCACATGGGATGTGTGTGCCCATGGGTCCCCAGGCCCAGGGATGGCAGGGCTTTGCCCTCCTCTTGCCAGGCTGGCAACAGGCAAGGGCTGGCAGGGCAGCCAGCTTGGGACAGGGCTGTGCCAGGGACCTTGGTTTTGGCCAAACTCACTGGCCGAGGTGGGGACAAACGGCCATGTGCCCTGGGTGGATCAGGAACCAGCTGTGTGGGATTCCTGCTGTGCCCTGGCCCTTCAGGTGCCACCCCGCGTGCCTGCAGGGCGGGTGGCAGCACCCTGGTTAACAGCAGCGGGGCAGAGCTGGTGCCCAGATGGGCACAGCGTGTCCCCCCACAAGGCTGTGTGCCCAGGGATGTCCAGGCAGCTGGGTGCCTGGGGATGTCTGGGAATGTCCCAACGCTGGCACATGTCCCTTCTGCAGGGCTGTGCACCCCGGCTCATCTGCCCTGCACCCCGCAGGCACAGCCCAGAGCAGAGGGAGCCCTGGTGACATGGGCTGTGCTTCTGCCAAGACACACAGGGTGACACTGAGGGCACACTGCCTGAAACCAGCCTTCAGCCCCGGCTGGGCTCCGTCAGCCCTGCTGAAACACCCAAATCTGGGCACAGGGCTGGGGGGGGGAGTGTCTTCAACCAGCAGTGACATGCGTGGGTGGGAAATGTCTTTTCCTGTTCCCAGGACCCATCCCTGAGAGCTGCAGGGACCTTTGTCACAGCCGGGCAGGGAGCGGCACCCTCAGGGGAGTGCAAAGGTCTGAGCCAGATGAGCCAGAGCCGTGCATCACCGCCCGCTGCACACCCCGGGGGGGCATCCCCCCGCACAGCCCTCCGCACCCCGAGCACCCTTCAAGGATGAGGCACACACAGGGAGCACCATGGGGCCCTGCACGCAGCTGCCTGTGTCGCCCAGACCCCCGTCGAGGTCTGGGGCAGCACCCCCTGCCCTCCTTTGCCCACCCCCCGGCTTTCCTGCTGCCTCCAGTTTAATCATTGCCCGGGTGCCTGGCCGGGAGCGCTCTGCCCGGCCTCCCCGGCGTGTTTACCTCCACCCCAGGGTTCAGCAGAGCGAAGGGCAGCGGTGACACACAGCACTGCCAGCAGATGCTGTGCCCTGTCAGTGCCCTGCTGGGGCCTGCACAGGCCACCCCTCATCCCTTGCCCTGCCCTTGATGATGCCAGCCCTGCCAGCCCGGGGCTCTGACAAAGGCACCATGCACCCCTCGGGGACAGTTGTCCCTCCCCACACTGCATTTGTCCCAGGCGGAGCGTGTCAGAGCCCCAGGGCATGGAGCACCCTCTCAGGGATGTGGGTTTCAAGCAAGCCAAGGTGGTGACGCCACGTCCCTGCCCAGCCCCATGGCGGGTGGGCTCCGTGGCAGGGCAGGGCTAGTGTCGGGGCCACAAAAGCAAACAAGAGGTGGATCTGCTCATCCTCGTGCCAGCACGGTCCTGGCAGGGAGAACAACAGCACTCCTTGTGCAGGGCTGGCGTTATGGGGCTGTGTCCCTGCCAACCTCCTCCTGCAAGCTGCACACCCCCCGGCCACCCACCGGCATGGGTCATAGGCCAGGGAGAGGGGTCAGGGCACAGGGGGCAAACTGGCAGGGCTCTGCTCTGCACCTCTGCCAAGCCACTGCCACCCCAGCCCAGAAGCTCCCGGGGGTGGTGGGTTTTCAGGAGTGGTGGAATCCTGGTGGTGGTGGGCTCCAAGAGCAGTGAGCTCCAAGCAGTGGTGGGCTTCCAGTGCTGTTGGGGTCCCAGGGGGTTGCAGCCAGCTGGAGCAGTGCCACAAAGCCCACCTAGCTGCCCCAGTCAAGAACCAATCCCTTCCCCAGCCCGCCCTAAAGCCGGGCTCTCCCTTTTCAAAGACAGAACAGTGATCCAGATTGGCAGGATGGGGCTGAGCACCAGCCAGCATCACCAGGCAGACAGGAGCAGGCTGTACTGGAAGCGCCTGGGCGAGGGGAGTGCTGGGCCTGGGCTGGGAGCAGGGTGGCAACCAGCAGCCAGCTGAAGAGCTCACGTGCCACTGCTGCTGCCGCAAGTCAGCCATGCAATGGTTAAACCTGGGTTTGAGGGGAGTGTGGCCCCAACACTGCCCTCAGACAACCTGCCAGGGTAAGCAAGAAATAACACGGGAATCCCGGAAAAGCCAGGGCGGAGGGAAGAGGCGAGGCGTACCTTGGCAGGAGAGGAGATGGCTATAATTTTATTTGCAGCACCCTGAAGTCATCTGCTGACACGCGCGCTCTTTCCAAGCCCCTGCCCCTTCAGACCAGGCAGTTCCTGCAGCCGCCCTGGCTCTTACGCAGCCGCCGCCTGGCAGCGCGGCCGCCCGCGGGACGCCAGCACAACGGCTGCTTGTTCCAGGTCGCTGGCGCCAGCCCCAGCCAAAAACCCAGCCCAGAGCCACCCCAGGCTGCTGCAAAGGGGCCGGCGGGCTCCTCGCTTGCCTTCCTAGACGCCCAGGGGCAGGTCGCAGAAGGCGAGCAAGGGGGATCTGCATCCCAAACAGGGTGCCCCAGGGCTACCCCGCTGCTGGCACTGGACCCGGCCATAACGCGGTGTGGAGCCCTGAGCGTGGATGCAGATGGGATGAGGGGGTTGTGCCCAGCGCCCCATGAGCCAGAGGAACCAAATGGGGTTTCCTGGCACAGGGATGTTAACACCTGCACCCATGCTGTGCTGTCAGGTGCTGTTATGGAGCACTTCCCAGCACTCTGCCACACTTTGTCCATCTGTCCTTCCTGCCTCCTTCCCTCCATCCCACGGGCAGCGTGGTGAGGAGGAGCGGTACCCAGCTGGAGCTTGGTGCAGGGTGCTGCAGGATCCCCATGAAGCTGCGTGGGGGTTACCGTGTCTCCCATCCCGGCTGGGGGCACATCCCTGGCTCCTCTCCACCGCTCCAAGACAGCAGCAATGATGTCCTCCTCTGCCACGCACACAGGGCTGCTATCACCCAAACCTACCCTCCGGCACATGGGCAATGCCTGCACCTTCCCCGGAGCTGGAGGCTTCTCAGTAAGGGTGAACTGCCAGGGTCAGTGTGTGGGATCACAGGCTCAACGTGCTTTCCCATCCCCAGTGTAGGCACTTCTTGGTGGCATCTGTGTTGGCACAGAACATCGCCAAGGCTCCTGGGCTTCAGTGGAGCAGAGCGGACTTGCCTTTCTCCCCTGCACCCCACACTGAGGTCTCAGGACCCGACAGGTGCCCATCACTGGTGTATCTGCCTGCAGAGTTCAGAGGTGACAACCAAGAGCAGAGTCCAACTGGTGCCATCTCCCAACGGCCAGCTCTGCCGGGCGTGGGTGCAGCACCCCAGGGTGTCCAGGCAGGGCAGTCCCGTCCCCGTGGGGCTGCCTGTCCTTGTCCCCCATGGTCAACATGTCCTGTGGGTGCAGCGAGGGCACTTAGGAGATGACACAGTGGCACTTTCTGCAGCAGCGGCAGCACTTGCAGCAGCTGCATTCCCCGCCGGCTTCCCTCTCCTGGCCCTTGGGTGACTTGTCCAGGGTGACAGTGTAGAAGGAGTTGGCTGATTCCCCGTTGGGCATCTTCATGCTGGCATAGGGATTGTAGGGACGGGACCAAGTCTTCTCTGTGGAAATGGTGGGGCTGTTCCAGTCGTCAGCAGCGTCCGCCTGCTCCTGCAGGCTGTCGGTGGGCACAACCGCAGGGTTGGCGATGACGGTTGGCTCGTCCTCCAGGTACCGAGTGATGAAGCTTTGCTGGAACTGTTCCCGTGGGATGTTGACGCTGGCGTAGGGGTTCTCCAGACTGACGCCACGATCCATCTCCCTGCTTGTCGTCAGCACGCGGGGGCAGCTGGCATTGCCCACCTCCTGCGAGACAGAGACCCCGTTATCCCGGGGTGCAGGGGTGTCAGTGCTGGAGCTTTTCTCACAGCAGAGGGAAGGAACCCCCGGCAGACCCCATGGGTTTGGGAGCAGGGCACAGAGCTGGGCTCCCCTCTCCCTGCCAGCACCAGGGGACCCCGATCTGTGACCTGTACATTTGGCTGTTTGGCCCTAATGACGAAGCTGGGAGGGGAGGGTGACACCTGGGCAGGAGCACATGGGGGTGGGCAGAGTGCCGAGGGGTGGGAGGGGGTGCTGGACGGGAGACAGGGTGCAGGTAGGGTCGTGGAGTGGGGTAGGAGCTTCCGGGGAGAGACGGGTCTCAGAGGTGAGGGGTAGGCACTGGAGAGAGGAGGGGGGAGAAAGGAGGTGCAGGGGGAAGGAGAGGCAGATCAGGGCCTTTATCTCCTTAGGAAGATTGATAATAATGGATGTGCAGTCTTAACATCCTGAGAATAAATTTTTTTATCAGGGACTCACTGTGTATCTTGATTAACTGCGTATCTACAGCATAAAAAAATAAATGTCAGGGCCATTAGGTGAGAAATTATTGCTTTTTTCAGTTCAGAACTCATACTCCAAAATTGTTAGACTATTATATATTAAAAAATTCATCGAATATGTATGTGTATATAGTCTAAGCAAATAATTATCATACATGGAAAAGACATTTGTAAGAAGTACGCTCTCAAGTTATATCCATCACACTCTTGTGTATCATCTGAAACTAGAATTTGTTTTGAAGATGTATGCCCTGATGGGATGATGTTGAGACCACAGAGATCAATTTGTTGATATTCTTAAAAAAGACTGTTTAATGTTAAAACATTTTTAACAAGACCAATTTATGTAACTCCTTAATTAGTCGGTGTTTATATTCTTTGTCCATCACTAGCATTTTTCTTGATTTTATTCTACACTCATCAGCAAGACAAGGCACTAAGAGTACCAGCAACTGCCCAGAAAAGAGGCCAGAACAAGGGTGCAGGAGAATGAAGGGACCAAGCCATAAAGAGAAATAGGATTGCTTCTTTCTCTAGTGTAAGCACTGGAAGCTCTGATGCAGTGTGCTCATCAGCATATATCATCTCTGATACTGTGCAGACCAATGTCATTTATGCCTTCAATAATTTATAAGGTATTCCAACATGTTATCCCTATTCCACACACAGTAATAGATAGGAGGAATATGGTTCGTAATTACAGAATCACAGAATGGTATAGGGTGGGAAGGGACCTCTGGAGATCATCTAGTCCAACCCCTGCCAGAGCAGGGCCACCCAGAGCAGGTCCCACAGGAACGTGTCCAGGTGGGGTTGGAATGTCTCCAGAGAAGGAGACTCACAGAATCTTCTAGGTTGGAAGGGACCTTAAAGATCATCTTGTCCAACCGTCAACCTAACTGACAAAAATAGACACCCGCACAACAAACAAGGAGCATCATCACTAAACCAGACCTCCCAGCACTACATCAACCCGGCTTTTGAACACCTCCAGGGATGGGGCCTCAACCACCTCCCTGGGCAGCCCATTCCAATGCCTGAGAACCCTTTCAGTGAAAAAATTTTTCCTAATATCCAGCCTGAACCTCCCCTGGCGCAACTTGAGGCCATTTCCTCTCGTCCTGTCGCCTGTGACTTGAGAGAAGAGACTGACCCCCACCTCTCTACACCCTCCTTTCAGGGAGTTGGAGAGAGCAATAAGGTCTCCCCTCAGCCTCCTCTTCTCCAGGCTGAACACCCCCAGCTCCCTCAGCCTCTCCTCATCAGACTTATTCTCCAGACCCCTCACCATCTTTGTCGCCCTTCTCTGGACCCGCTCCAGCACCTCAATGTCTTTTTTATGGTAGGGGGCCCAAAACTGGACACAGTACTCAAGGTGAACTGGACACAGTACTCAAGGTGAGTACTCAAGGGCACAAGGAACTGGGCATCAGTACCAGGCACTGGGCACTGGCACCAACACTGGGGTGGGGACACTGACAACCGCGCAGGGACACTGGTACCAGTGGTCAGGGGTACCACTGGACAGGGGCACGGGACAGGGGGCACTGGGCAGGGGGGCACAGGGCACTGGACAGAGGCACTGGGCACCAGGCAAGACCCCCAGTACTGCGTATCGTGCACCAGCACTAGCCACTGGTACCGGCCACTGGTCACTGGCTTTGGCACCAGGCAGAGGATACCAGTACCAGCATGGGCACTGGTATCGTGCACTGGCACCAACACCACAGAGCGCACACCAGACACCACACAGCAGGCAGTGGTGCCATGCTCTGTCAGCACTGCCAAGACCGGGCACTGGCACCAGTACAGGCACCAGCGCCATCCACCAGCACCAGCACGATGTGCTGTGCAGTGGGCAGGGAGCTCCAGCACCAAGCACTGGCACCAGACGCTGGTACTGGGCAGCAGTGGGGGAAGTGGGGTGGGCACTGCACACCTTGGGCCTGTAGGAAGCAGCAAACACCAAGCACCAGGCAGAGGGCACTGAGTACCGTGCAGAGGTCCTGAGCATCAGGGAGGGGCCACCACTGTCCCCCCCCAGCCGCCCCCAGGCCCACCTGCCAGACTCTGCTTGCCCCCCTCCAGTCCAGGGGTCCCTCACACTCCAATGCCAGGTCTCTGCTGGGGTCCTCATCCCTCCAGCTGATCCCCAAGCGACCACAGGGGCATGAACCAAGTGTGCTGGACCCAAGAAACCTGGTGTATGCCCAGGCATCAGGAGGATCTGTGGTGGGAGGTTGGCAGTGATGTGAACCTGTGCCCACCAACAGAGCCTTTTCCAGGGCAGATTTTGGTGGGTCACGCTGTGCCTGGTCCCAGGGCATCACCGCTGGAGGGAGAAAGGTGTGAGGCTGGATGGAGTGAGGGACATGGCTGGCACGGGAGCAAGGAGAGGGATGCTGGCACATATGCCAGGCTCTGGGACCACAAATGCTGCAAGAGAAAAGATGCTAGTTTTCAGCACCCTCCACCTGTGACCAGGGAGGAGAGACCCTGTGTGAGCCCCAGCCCTCAGTCCTGCTCTAGGATGAGGCTTTTTGGAATATCCCAACTGAAAAGCCAGCCCAGAGGGCTCCACCACCCACACCATCCCACCATCACAAAGCCAGTGTCCCTGCCACCACCACCACCAGCTGCCAGGGCTCCCTGGTTCTCTGGTATTGCCTTGTCCCTCTCTCTGGTACCTGCTGGGCCTGTGGAGGGGCTCTGGGCAGCATCAGCCCCACTGGGACAGCAGGCAGGGTCGCAGGCAGGGCAGTGCTGTCCACAAGTTCCCCAGGCTCATGGCTTCCCACCAGCAAGGAAGACACCAGCGCCAATGGAGGAAGGCCCAGCACCAGCTTGGTGACACGGTGTCCCCAGCCACCAGAAGTCAGAGTGGTTCCCAGCCCTTCCCCCCGCCTCGTGTGCCACGGCCACCCCTTCTGCTTGGACACAGCCCCAGCACGCCTGCCGTGTGGCTCTGGTTGTGGCTGGCAGGAGATGGTCACCCCGGGATGGATTTGGCTCAGAGCAAGAGCCCAGCCTTTGGGGGGACAGGGGGACCGAGGGGACCAGCCTGCCAGCCAGGGCGGCTGGGTGGAAAGCAGCACAGGAGCATCCCAGCCCCACATCCACACCTGGCATCCTCCTTTGGGGTACCGAGAGAATAATTGAATCATAGAATTGTCCAGGCCTGGCATCCTCCTTTGGGGTACCGAGAGAATCATTGAATCACAGAATTGTCTGGGCTGGAGGGGACCTCCAAAGGCCATCTAGTCCCACCTCCCCGCAGTCAGCAGGGACACCCCCAACTAGAGCAGGTTGCCCAAGGCCTCGTCGAGCCTTACCTCGAATATCTCCAGGGAAGGGGCCTCAACCTCTCCAGGGATGGGGCCGAGGTACCAGCCCCGGTCCCTGAGGTGCTGCCACATCCCCGGGGAAGCTGCAGGGAAAACTGGAAGGTGCAGGGGTGACAGGAGATGCTGGCAGCCTGGCCTGGGGAAACAAGTCTTGGTGGGGACAGCCACAGCTTGACTGCTCTGTCCTGCCCAGGCAGGACAGCCACACGTCCTCTGTGTGTTGCCTGTGGGTCCTGAACAGGCATTTTGCTGAAGGCTGCAGGACTTCAGGCATCTCAGGAGGGTTCTTACTGCTGGGTGACCACAGCCAGCCCTTGCAGTGGCTCCAGTGAACCGTGTCCCTGATTCCAGGTTCCTGGGGACAGGGTTGGGTTTTCTGGGAGCCTGTGCCCTGCCAGATGTCCTGTCCCCAGGGTGGGGGACACAGCTCTTGTCCTGCAGCCAGACAGTATCTCTGATGCTGGTGGCTGAGCATGCTGTGGGGCCACCACAGGTCCCCTGCTCCAGCCATGACCCTGCCATGTGACACTGCTATGATACCTCCAGCCAGTGTCACCCTTCCCATCACCAAGCCCCCAAAACTGGCTTGTGCAGAGGCCCAAGATCTTCCCATGAGCAGTTCCATGCAGAAACCCATCCCTCCCAGGAGCACTGGGGATGGGGCCATGCACCCTGGGGCTGGGGCAGCCTGGGGACAGGCACAGGGCAGAGGGTGCCCCAAATTGCAGCTGGATCCTCCTGGGCTTAAAGTATGTTTCCCACAGCACTTTGCAAAGGAAAACACTGTTTCCTTCTGGCCATTCCAACAGAAAACCACATTTCTCACCTGCAGTGAAGAGCTGGGGCTGCACAGACGGGTCAGACCCACCACTGCCCTGCCCACCCAGCCTGGTGCCAGGATAGTGGGATGCGGAGCTGGGGACTATGTCCTGGCACCTGTGAAACAAGCAGAAGAGGTGACAGGACCCTGCCTGGCCCTGACAGCACTGTCCCTGTGGTGGAGGACAGATTCTGGTGGGTGCTGAGCTGGCCGGGCACCCAGTGGGCAGAGTGGCTGCTGCCAGCACCCTGCCTGCAAGCCCCAGTCTTCCCTCAGCAGCTGGTCCCTCCGTCCTGGATCTTGCTGGGCTTGAATTTCCAGAAGCGTGGTTTACCCTGTAAAGAGACTCAGTGACCTGCCAGGGGGAAGAGGGGAGGGAAGAGGGAGCCCTAGGATGTTTTTTGGAGGAGCTGGGAGGTCAAACCCTCCTGTGACCAGCTCTAGCCGGGGGAGAGGGACCCCATGAAGCTCTGTGCCTTGGTTTCCCCACTGAGGACTGAGAGTAGGGGTGCAGCAGAGCATGCACCATGTGTAACCAGCATCTCAGCACCCAGCTCTTGGGTGCAAAACACCTGCACGGACACCCCCAGGGCCTCTCTGCTCCCACAGGGTCCCCCAGAGGAGAGCCACTGGCAGTCCCTGTCGCTTCACTGGGCCTTGCTACTGCCAGGTTTTCCCATCTTGAGCTGTCTCCTCAGCTCAAAACTCACACATTTTGCCAGGCAGGCATACAGAAAGAGGCAGCATCCTCCCGGCTGTCCTGCTGTAACCCCAGCCCTGCCAGCTCGTGTGCGGTGTGTCCCTGCTCGCGCGGGGGATGTCGCTGTGGCTCTCTCCAGCAGCCAGTTTCTCTTCCTCCCAGTGCCTCAGGACGTGCTTGTTTTGGCTTTTTGCCCCAGATTTCCATGCGCAGCCCTGCTCCCGAGAGCCTCTGCTCCCAGGGAGCTGCAAGGCTGCACGCCAGGCACAGCTCAGCACTGGGGGACCCCAAAGATCCTGCTGCTCCGAGAGACCCCAAGACCCCAACACGGCACCCTGTGTCCTCAGTGTCGTCCCTCTTCCAAAGGGGCTCCAAAGCAAAGCTCATTTTGTAGCGCCTCTGAGATTTTTGGGGTAGGGGGCTCAGGGTTGTGGACCCTGCACAACCTCTCCGAGGAGGGTGATAGCTCTAATCTGAAGTGCCTCCACCCCGGCTGATGTCCCTCCCCAGCATTTGCCGCTACAGCTCCCATCTCGCAGGCGCCTTCTGGATAATCTCATTCCTTGCATGCTCCGGTGCCGGCTCTGCAGCTGCTGGGCTGGTTCCAGTCTCATCTCGGGAAAGCCCTTCCAGCCTCTGCTGCTGCTCTCCTGGTCTGGGTCTGGCAACGTTCTCCTTTCCAGTCTCAATTTCCTGATGGCCAATTTGTTCTTGGGCCAACAGAATCTTTGATGGCTCCTTTCCTCCTGGCTGTGGGTGCAGCAAAGGAGGAACTACCTGGAACTAGTCCCACAGCACACTTACAGCCCTGCTGGTAGCATTGGGTTAAAAGGAATAGGACCCTATAAGGTCCCTACCAGGACAAGGTGGCCACTGTGGTACCTGTCCTTTGGGCTGCTGCCCAAAGGCACGGTGTCCCCAAAGCCTGATGAATTCAGGGTCACAGCAGCATCCACCCTTCCTCCTCAAAACTCACCAGTCCTGCATCATCCCCAGGAAGTTTCAAGTTCTCCCACTTTGTGGATAAACTCCTGAGCACTGAGGATGGGGGCGGGGAGGGCACTGCCACCGGGGCTGAGGTCCTGGGCTTTCCTGGGGTTCATCTCCTTGGGGTACTTTCCCCCAGCTGAGGATGACTCCTGTGGGAGATGAGGCACTGGCAGGTCCAGGCAGTCCGTGGAAGAAGTTCAGCGATTCTCCTTCTGGTGCAGGCGATGGGGCAGGTCTGCGGCGGCTCAGCCCCAGCCCGAGGAGCAACCCCTAATCTGAGGGTTAAATATTTAATTTCTTGGTAAGATATAATGCCGAATTGAGCTCTGAGAGCCACGTCCAGCAGTCTTGTGCAGCTCCTTGGAGGGTTTTATAGATGATGGAGAAGCCTCAGATGGAAAAGCTGTTGTTTCAGAGTTATCCATGTGGGTCTCGGGGAGCTGGGAGCTGGTGAGCAGTTTGGAGCTGTGCACCCCTTATGAGTAAAGGGACAAGCCGAGCTAATGCATAGCTATTTGTTGCATAAAACCAGCCTAATTTCCTGCAATTGTTTGCAAGGCAAAAAAAAAAATTCAACAGAAAAAGCCAACCAAAAGCTCAGCACCCAGCAATGTCCTGTGCTAGGAGAGGTGATGGATGGAGAGGGATGTCCTCACGAGGTGCCACGGTGCTTCCAGAAGAAGGTGCTCTGGCCCTGTTGCAGCCCAGGAGACATCCTCTGTGATTTTAGGGGGAGCCTGAGAAAAGAGGAGAAACAGGAGAAAAAGCCAATCTTTGCTTTCCTTTTATTCCCCTTTTTAACTGAGCTATGAGCTCGTTTGCAGCCCATGCTGCCTCCCAGCAGCCCAGAAGTTGTGCAGAGTGGGGCAGGGGCTGTGTTCCCATCACAGGCAGCTGGTGGCTGGGCTGGAGCCCAGCAGGTGCTGCAGGGGTAGGAGCATCCCCAGCCATGGGACACGCAGCCAGGAGGAGAGTGCTGATCTCAGCAATTTCTCCAATAGCAGTCCAAAAAAGATCTTGCTCTTCTCAGTGGTTCCTTGGCAGAGCACCCACAGCCCTCCATCCTGCATGACCAAACGCAAGCTTTAGGGATTTTTTTGCAGGACTCTGGTCACTGGAGCAACCTCATGGGATGCCTCAAGTCACCACAGCTTCACGCACAGCAAAAGGGGCATTTATTTGTGGGTTTTTTTTTAAAAAAAACCCCACAAAGTCACAGGCACATCCCACTGCTGGGCGTCCTTCCCACGTGGACAGGCACATCTGTGTCATCAGGGTCAGTGGAGCTTCCCCAGCTCCTCCCAGGGGCTCTACCAGTCACCAAGACACAAAAAAACCCATCCACACATCGCGTGTGCTGACTATTTCCCTTCCACTCCCGGGGAGACGCAGTGCCATGGCGCAGGCACATGAGGGTGATGATGCTCCTTCCAGCCCATCAGTGGCAGAGGATGAAGCAGAGCTGCGTTTCCCGGGGGGAAGGTTCTGCAGTCGGCCTGGGGAGCAGCTCAACGAGAGCCCCCAGCGCAGACCGTGGCTTCTCACCAAACCTTGGTGGGACTGAAGACTTATTTGAAGCTAAGGAGAGCTCGTAGGAGGCTGGTGTGTGAAACAGGTGTGGGGATGAGTTGGGCCATTGCAGTAATGGGAAGCCAAACCCCAAATTCAGGCTGTGCGAAACAAACCCAGATGGATGGGATGATTTCTTTCCGGACATCACAAGGCACCCTGCATGGGCTCCTCCACTGTGCGAGATCTTCTCCAAGGCATTTGCCTTAATCCTCTGCTGTCTCCTCATTAAAAAGCAGAGTGAGGCTGGGAGGGATGACAGGAAGGTCTGTGGGGTGCCCCCCAGGGCTGGAGATGTTAATGGGGTGAGCATCCGTAAGGGGAACCCCATGGGGTCGATGCTGCTGGTCAGGGGTTCAGCTGGGTGCTGGTGAGCGGGCAGGGGGTGCTGGGGGCTTCAGGCACAAGGGTGCCGTGGAGGGGATCGGTGGTGCATCTCTGAAGGGTGACACAGGGAGTACAGACTGATGCATGGGGACAAAGCCATCAGGGACAGGGGGTTTGGGGTGTCACAGCCCCATTTCCAGCACCCTGGGTGGGAAACCCCAGCACTGTGCAAAACCCTGTGCTCAGGATCCCATCCCACAGGTCCTGGGGCTGGACCTGCCTTTTGATACAACCCATGGGCACAGCTCGGTGTGGGCATGTGACCTGGCAGCCCCACAGCCGTGCCCCATAGTACAGGGCCCTGGCACCCACACATAGCCAGTGTCAGTGTGCAGAGTCGCAGCCCTGCTCTGCTAGTCTACAGGTAGGCTGCCTGTGGCATGTGATGAGTTCTGTCAGTTCTTAGTGGCCTCCTGAGGAATGCAATGTGTGCCAAAGGATGGTGGCTGCTTTTAAAGTTGAAATGGAGCCTGAGGGTGACCTGCAAAAGCTGCTTGAAGGGCAGGACTGCCTGCAGTGCCAGGATGTCTCCTGTTATTTGGGTCAGTGCACGGGCTGCACACAGCAGGGGGGCCGTGGGCCATGCACCCAGCCTGTGTCAGGCCCAGTCCTGCCCTTGACACCAGCTCCTGGGATCCAGCTCAGTACAGAGGGGCAGTACAGGCTTCTCTGCGAAACCCCCTGAGGCTCCGGTGCTCGCCCTGTGGCAAGAGCACGTCCCCGGAAAGGGCTGGCAGCTCCCCAGCTCCGACAGAGACCATCACCAGCTCCATCCTGCACGCGCTGCGCTCTCCTGGTGTGACATCTCAGCCACCCCCCAGGTCCAGGAGTGGGGGACAGGGACGCCTGGAGCACTGCACGGCCGTGCAAAAGGCTGTGGGTGCCATGCACAACTGGGGCACATGTGCATGTGTGGCACGTGTGGGTGCTGGGCACCCCTCCGCCTGCCCGGGTCACCTGTGTGCCCACGGCAGGGCTGGGGACACCGCAGAGGCACATGTCCAACGCCTGGGGCATTTGGGCTCCTCTGAGCCTACGCTGTGTGTCACCCATGTACCGTGGGGATGCATGGGGGATGAGCTGGGGCTGCAGACCCCAAAGTCCCTCTGGTCTATGCCCCACTCTGCCCTGGCAGGGGATGCTGCACTCCCCAGGGATAACGAGCTGGGCAAATCATCCAGCGCTGGGGCTGGCACGGCCAGAGCCAGCATCACAGGAGTTGGCTGGTGCCTGACCAGCTGCCTGCCTCTCCCTGGGCTCGCACCGGCTGCAGGAACTGGGAGAGGAGATGGCTTCCTTATCACCCTCCTGCACTCACCTTCTGTCCCTCTCCCCTGTGGCTCCCCAGCCTTGCTGGCCCCCGGGTCAGGCCGGGGCTTGGCAGCGGCGCGGGGGAAGCGTGCATTGTGGCTGCCCACTGCGGCCCAGCTGGAGGAGAAAGCAAGGATTTCCTGGCCTGGAGCAAGTCCT